TGTCATCGAAAAACACGATGACGAAGTGCCGGAGATAAGGCCCGAACAAACGGTTCATGGCCGCTTGAAACGTGGACGGTGCATTCGTAAGGCCAAACGGTATTACAAGGAATTCGTAGTGTCCCTCATGCGTACGAAAAGCCGTTTTGTAAACGTCCTTATCATGCATCCGAATTTGATGATACCCCGCGCGTAAATCCAACTTTGTGAAACACCGTGCTTGGCCCAGTTCGTCAAAAAGCTTATCGGCGGTCGGAATGGGGAAGTGGTCTGGAACCGTGACCGCATTCAAAGCCATATAGTCCATGCAAAACCGGTATGAGCCATCCTTCTTTTTCACTAACAATACGGGCGATGAAAACGGGCTCCGACTCGGTTGTATTAGTCCTTGCTTCAACATCTCCCGAAACAAGTTGTTCACTTGCATCTTTTTGAAAATGGGGGTAGCGGTACAGCCGCACGTTGACCGGGGGGTTCCGGGCTGTAAAAAAATGCGGTGATCAACACCCCGGCGAGGCGGCAGTGAGCTTGGCAGTGCAAAGACCCGGCTGTGTGTCTCCAGGACCTGCTGGACGCTAGGGGGTAAGGTCGGCGCCAGTTCCTCGGCCAAATCGAAATCACCCATGCCCAAAAAAAAAATACCTCCACACACTCTAATACCTCCCTGGCCGTAGTAAGGGCATGCAAAATATTCAAGGACATGGATTTAGGTTCATGAGTGTCGCCGCGTAGAATCACTGCCTTATCCTTCAAACAGAATTCCATCGTCAATGTCGAGGAATCATGGGCCTCCTTGCCGTAGCCATTGAACGCCCAATACCACATCGGGACCGTGGATGTGTAGGACATATACGCCGACGTCAAAAGTCGTTCCTTGTAATGACAAAGGAATACTCAAACATTGTTTATCACACAGTAAGTAATCACTATTACTGACATATACCCGAAAAGGATTGACAAGTGTAATCGGTAACTGTAACTTCGTAGCCACAGGCGGGTGAATAAAATTGTGGGTACTACCCCGTCGATCAATACCTGAACCTCATGAGAAGTAATCTGCCAGTAAGTTTTAAAGCACGAGGAGTGGCCGACCCGGATAAGCTTTGAAGGCTAGAAATATCGGTTGTGACGCATAGGTCTTCCTCGGGTGCTGGTTTGGCATCATGTTCACAATCGGGCGCATCGTCATCATCCCCGATCAGTAAAAGGACATGTCCACAACGATGTCCCTTTGTCCAACGTTGATCGCAATTATAGCACAAACCCTTATCGTCTTTCTCGAGTTTCTCCGCCCTGGTCAAGCGACGAATTGGTGTGGCTAGGGATGGTTTACCATCTGTCGGGGGAGCAGTTGTGGATGGCTGCTGCCGACTGGGAGGGGGACGGTTCTGGCCAGTGAATAGACCATGGGGTTGGCGATGTGTGACAGTGTGCAAAAGAGCATTGTGCTTTGCCTCCAATTCGCGGGCGGGGGCAAAGGAATCCGATAGAGTTTCCGGCGACAACAAAGCGATCTCATGTTGTAAATGAGGTTTAAGTCCCGAGTGGAACAACAATATCAAATTGGATTCGGACGCCCCTGTAACGTGATGTAGGATTTTTTCAAACTCCGCTTGGTAATCCATAAGAGATCCGGTTTGACGAAGCTCTGCCAATTGACCGAAGTAATCCACATAATGGAGGGGATCAAACTGTAGCTTAAATTTTTCCACAAAATCTGCCCATCAGTGATCAAGTTACCATTCCGTCGCCACTGATACCAATCTGCAGCAGGGCCTTCCAACATAAGGGCTACGCAATGGAGACGTTCGGTTGGCGGTATATCAGAAAAAGTGAAATATTCCTGGACGTTGTACAACCAACGGAGGGGTTCCGTACCATCCGTTTTGGGCGCCTCCAACTTTGGTTTGGGTAGATGTGCATGAGAGGACGTTGCGGCTTCGCCCGATACGCCCGGGGTAAACCGTAGATGAGGCGACGTGGGCAACACCGGCCGGTTGGCTAAAACCAGTGCCTCCAGGCGAGCAAAGTGGCTTTCCAAATCAGTTTGCATCTGATGCATGGTCTACTGTAGGGCATCAATCCGCTCATCCTTATGATCGCGTGTTGTCGTGGACGCAGAATCGTCGGCCATAATGAAAGCATCAATTGATACACTCGCGTATCAACTAGGGAAGGTTTAAGGCACCTTCAAGCTTACGGAGGCAGTGAGAAAGGAAGAAGGAAGAGGATGAGGGGAGAAGAAAAGCCTTGAACGGCTAGAGGGGAGTTGAGGGAAGAGAAGAAGTGGAGAATTAAGGCTAGAGAGAGAAAGAGAGTAGGAAAAGTGGTTCATATTTTTCATATTCTCCCATGCGGATGTACACCACCTTAAATAATGGTTCCCCAATACCTAATTAACTAATATCTATCCTGTCGGTTCAAAAAAAGGCATCGAGATAAAGAACCAAAAAGAAACATTCGAAGGAGCTTATACGCTCACCTAAGAAAATCTAAGGTACAACGACAATAAAACAAATTAAATACCAATAAAATATTAAGTCTCATAATCCTTCCGCCACGCCGGAGGTCTCCTTTCCCTCGACCCCCGACGTAACTCCTTGCATGGAGGTGCTCCCAGGTTGTCTTGCTCCAGTGCCTGCGTCCCTGGTTCGCCATGCACCTCGCCCTGTGATTCGGTCGTAACAACGAACCAAAAAAGAAAGTGGGAAGAATATTTCCAAACGGAGGGAGTAAATTTAGAAGTATAATCATTGCAGTAGAAACAATACACTACATAAGAGCGTGAATTGAGTTAGGTTCTGAGTGTAGTTAGTGCTGATATAGCACTGAGTGACGAGCAATGGTAGAGTACCATAGATTACCTAAGAGAGAAAATGGAACAAGGTTTTGTTTTATTGATTTGGAGTTCAATTATTTGTACTCATTAGTATAGAATAGTAAAAAAATACTACTAAAAATTATCCCTCGTTTGGATTTTAAGTTCCCATTTTGACTTTTGGTCATTTTTATGGGAAGTTGACTATGCATACAATTTGTCCAAAATGCCCCTAGCCTTCTCTGCTGCAAGTCCAATTTCAATTTACTGGGCCTGCGTTTTTTCCAATGGAACAAAAAACAATGGACACCGCCGGCAAAGGCGTATCTCCGCCCTAAATCAATGGACGCGGAAATGGATCTCCAGATCCGCTCATATGGAGTACGGGCTTCAATTAACTCCTCTGCACAACTTCAATCGAATCCTCTTCTTTGATCTGCGCAGGATCGCAAAATAACTGATCTGCGCAGGATCGCAAAACAACAGGATGTATCGCGTTCTTCTAGATTTGAAAAAAAAAACAAGGGGCTTCAAGAAGAAGAATGAAAAGAAGAAAAGGAGGAGAAGGGGGAGGGGGGAGAAAGAGGGAAGATGATGACTAGATCTAGTCAAAAAAAGAAAGAGAAAGAAGAAGAAGAAGAGGGGGGAGGCGGAGGAAGAAAACGGGGGAAGATGAAGGGTATTTTGGGGAGAGTGAGTATGAAAACGTATAATGAGAACTTCATTTTCGGACGAAAAAAAGTGTAGACGGGGAATTTAAAATCCGGACGGAGGGAGTACCTTTAAAAGTAAGGTGTCGAATTTCATAGAAATGTGATAGAGGACATTTCATTTCAATTATAACTGTTTGTATAAAATTAGATGGGATTTGGATGTAGACAAGGAAATCTCAAAGTGGTAGTATAAAATTAGATGACATTTCATTTCATTTTAATGTGTTAGTTGAAAATGTAATCTCAAAGTATAAAATGGGATTTGGATGTTGATATTGTAAATTTATTTTTATCTCACTACTGACTCTCTCCGTCCCCCATAGATCTTCTTATTAGCCCTTTTTATTTGTCTCACATAGATCTTCTCATTACCTTTTTTAACATTTAAAATATCACAATTATCTTCATTTACTTTATTTATTACATCTTTTCCACCTTATTTAATACACCCCATCCATTTTCATTAAGGGTATTTTTGTAAACTTTCGCCTTTTTCAACTTTCTTTAAAAATTACTAAAAGTCAAAACGAGAAGATCTTAGGAGGACGGGGGGAGTAATATAATTATTTATTAGAGTTAATTTTAATTCAATTTGTTTGGAAATTGATATTTGTTGGAAAAAATATTATAGATTTTGATGATGATGTATATAGATTGTAATATGGACTTTAGGTCACTCCCAATATTCAATGTAATTTTTCTTTTTAGAAATATTGTTAAACCGAGTTTTTGAGATTTCCAATAAAGTTGTGATATTTCACTCTGTGGTTTGATGTTAATCTTTGAAGACTTAATCAAATTCAGTGATATGGAAAATTTGAATTCTTGATTGGAAATGTCAGAGACAAATAGGGAATTCTCAAAGCAGTTGGTTACTTTGAAGATTCTCAAATCCAAAATGCTCAATAATACTCGGACATCTCGCAACAAACCGTTGAAGGCTAGGTCATCTAGATCGGAAGACCAACGCGGATCTCTTTCTCACCTGGAAGTCTATGAATGACTAATCCGGAATTGTCAACAAAGAACCGGATGTTTCAAGGAAGACCAGAACTCTCAGAAGCAGACAAGTGAGAAAAGTCTTAGAAAAATATCTAAGTCATAATGAAGAAATTCTACTCATTGGTAAGAAAAAATCAATTTCCTGATTTTCAACGACTAGATTGAGGATATTTAAGCTGATTCAAGAACAAATGACTTGAAGACAAAGTCTGGACTTTTCAAATTGAAGAGCTCACCTAGAATTCTTAAACAAACACAAGAAGACAAAATGAATACTCCACTCAATAAAGGGCTACATGCAGAATTCTTGAACAACAGCTAAAGGATGGATTCTGTGAAAAAAGAATCCTTCTTCAAACAATTGGGTATGTCCAAACACTCATTCTAATGAAGAATTCTTTTCCCTGGAAGTTTTTGGGATCCAAACACTACATAATTTTATTCCCCAATGATCTGTGGGTTTGCAGACTGCTGCTTGGTCTTAGTCTTGGGATGTAAACAACCCATGCTACATAAATGCTGGTTTACAGGTCCTAACTACTCAAGAATTCCTGCTAATCCTCCTCCTTAACAAAACAAACAAAAAAATCTCTATGACCTGCAATTTTTCTAAATGTGCATATTCTTGCAGAATGAAATGGTGATGGAGTTTGATAGGCGCTAAACTATGAGACCTGTGGAATGCATCAATAGCTCTGCAGTCAATCCTATTCATACTATGCTCTATCTTTACCCGTCCAGAATCTAGCTCCGGTTCAAGAAGAAGCATTTTAAGTGCATCTTCAGTAGGCCTATGCCAGTGGAACTTTGGTTGTAATGAGGAAAGGTAACGTTTTTCAAGCATTGACTATTTTGATAAAATTTTCTCCCTTGCACTTCTGGTTAGCTTCAAAATGTTTTAGGGTATAGTAGCTTGTTGCACACTGATGGAGTATTTCCAAATCTTTCTACTGAAGGCCGCATATAATATCTCAATCAGATAATCATGGAGTGTGTATTTCTCTTGCCTATGCACCAATTACTAGTGACATTGTTGCTTAGTTTCGTCCTAAAGTGGTGATGTCAGGCGACATAGGAGTTGCTGCTTCACAAACGATGCTTTCTCCTTCATCTTCTCTCACAGAGCAGGCTGTACAAGGTTCCCTTGTTGTCTATCGGATACAAAGCAACAGCTACCACAAGGTAGGTGTTTCTTGTGCAAATGTAAGCGGCATCCGTTTACCAAAGTCCACCATAATAGGAAGTGACACTACGGAGAAGGCTCTGTTTGCTTGTGGGGATGAAGCGTTGTGTGAACTTGTTCTGCAAGACTTGCCATCCCTAAAAGACGCAATGCGTGTCCAAGCTCCTAGAAATCCCGTTCGCGATGTGAAGTACACAAATGCCTTGGGTTCAGGACTGTTGAGCTGTTTGCGCCAGGGCAGTGTGCAACTTTTTTTGTCTAAAGCTTCATGAAGAAAAAGGTACTTAATCTGTTTATGTGGCTAGATTCGTTACTGTGTGTGTAACGCCCCGAAAATAGGTCTATCAGTATTAATTAATTGATAATTAATTAATTACTGAGAAGGACCCAAAAATAAATAAATTCTAAAGTTTGTCAATAAATAATGAAAATTATATCAATGTGTAGAGTTTGACTGTCTGATCCCAATGGTTCAATCGGATTTCAATTTGGAGAAAGTTGGACCAAAAAGTGTACCCGATTGGGACCAAAATTAGTCCCAATCAGGGACTTACGTTTGCATCCCGTAGAAATCGCCGCTCCCTCCACTGAGACGCCACAACAGTAACAACCATGTCTTCATGTCATTGCTCCTTCCTATTTAAACCCCTCAAAACTTCACCATTTCTTCACCTTTCTCCTTCAAATAAACTCTGAGAAAAAGCTGTGAGTGTGGAGAACGAAGTTGTGCTGTCAATTTGGTGTGAAGTCGACGGAGCAAGCCACAATCCTTGCCGGGAGTTTCGCCGGAAAATTTCCAAAACCTCCATTACGCTTCGAGGTAAGCCCGTAGATATATCTAGTGATTAGAATATTCGTATAGATCGTTTTTACGTTCATAAACGATCGTTTGGTTGAGTTTTTGTGTTTGACATACTTAAGAACCATGAATCATAAACCTTGAATTTGATGTTAAAAAGATGTTTTAATGATCCCAAAATGATCTATGAACCTTGGAGAACATTTCTATATAATTTAATTGAAGTTTGGTGATTAAAAATGATAATACTC